GTATATATGTATATGTATATGTATATATGACAATATTAGAGTGGGCCTGGCTAAGATGAGTCAGTACAACAACTCCGGAATTTTGGCGGACTAAATGAGTCAGGTTGTCTGATTTAGAAGGCTATGGTCAGGCGGCCAAATTCGGTATTATTGGCCGGTACGCCATAGGCCTACTGCACGAATTCTCGGATTTTATGGAATTTGTAAAAAATTCTCTGGACCAATTGCATGAGGCTATGCCGATGTTTTTGGATACCCTTTTTTTGGAGGTAGCCCCAGAGACTGCGGCGATGCTGAAAATGCAGTACCGCCAAGGAGGTTTGAGCTTTTGTGGGACACTTTGGCGTGCAGGAGAAGGTCTCTGCATCGCGTAAGCATGCAGCAAGGACAGCGCCACCTAGAAAGGAGAATACCAATGGGTTGGGTTACCAGGACGGAGGTGGTAGGAGCAGAGATGGAGTGCAAGCAGATGGGGTGTCTGCTGGCACTAAGAGGGGCCTTGATGAAGTTGTTCTGGTGGCCACTCTTACCAAAATGGATGGTAGATTCGAGAAGATGAACGGCAAGTTTGAGAGGCTATCTCAGAAGATAAAGCCACGTAAGCGCCGTGCTGGTGGTAGGTCGGAGGGGTTTGTAGGTGAATGGGAAGAGCGACGTGTGTGTTTTAACCGTCAAGGCTAACTGTGACAAACCTGCAACCCAAGAGGCCAAGAACTGACTGAGGGAATCTTCTTCAGGGGTAGATGCTGTCGGGGCAGCGGTGTTGGATGAAGACACGGCTAAGAGAGGCAGTGTCATCGCAGGTGAAATAGGAGGAATTCCTACAACGGTGTATGCGGATTCGGGTGCGACGTCCAATCTAATTACAAAGGAGTTGGTAGGCAGGGCTGGTCTGGATGTGACTAGGTACATGGGTCTGCCGTTTGAAGGTGTTGCTGAAATGGGAACGGTTGCGCCCTTAGGGGTGGTTAAGGCACCAGTGCAGATGAAGAGCTGGCATGAGCGGTTCTTGCAACCTGTGCTGGGGATGCTGGTAGTGGGTTCACTACTAATGAGGACGGATGTGTTGATAGGTCACGATATCATGGTTAAGGATGGCCTAAACTTGATGTTGAATAGCAGTAAGCGGTTGGCGCTAGTGCAAAATGGAGATAGGATGGACTTTTACTGCATGAGGCAGCGAGACCTAAAGAGCAGAGTTGCCAAGGAAGCAGGTGTTGGTGGCAAGGGCGAAGGGTGAGGGCTTTGGCTCCAAACTGTCGTCCGTGGAAGGTTAAGGTGGATCGGAATGGTACGCAGGCGAGGCTGCGACGTCAGATGAATATTATACACGTAACGGGGGCATTGACTAGTGTGATGCAGAAGCAGTATGTGGCAGCAGCTACAGCACACTTTCAGGTAATGGAGAAGCGTGTTGAACGAATACACAAGGAGGATGAATTGGACCTGGTTGAGGAGCATATTCTGCCAAGGATTCCAGATGTGTTAGCGCCAGTGACTTACCGGTGGGTGACATAGACATAGACCCATGTGGGTTGAATAAGGACTTTCAGTCGTTTGATGAAGGACCATTGAGGGCGTTCGGCAAGGAGATTAGAGTGCCGCAGGCTGACATTGAAGCCATGGTGGTAGCAATAAAATCTATTACTTACGATAAAGAGAACCCGAGATTTATAAATTTGCCGGATGTTGAGTTGCGGGTGCGTGCTGATGCGGTGTCGCAATACCATGTGTACAATCACAAGGATATGGATGCTCAGGAGGTCCTGTTGGTTAAGGTTGGTGATTGGAATCGGGGTGGTATCTCGGAGAAGTTGACCAAGTCAGAGGTGAAGAATATGAAGTGGTGTGCAATGCCACATTTGGTGTATAAAAAAACCTGGCTTTGTTCCGTTGACTGCTGATGACTGGCGTCTGCGGCTGTGTATTTTCTTTAAAACGACTAACACACAGTTTGAGTGTGAGGCGTATCCGGTACCGACAGAGAGGCAATTTCTGTTTTTAGTTAGGGGACGCAAGTATTGTATTATTGTTGATCTTGGTCGAGGCTTCTGTCAGCAGAAGTTGAGTAACGAATCGCAGCAGTATACCACTTTTTGGACTCCGAGGGGACCTCACAAGTTCATAGGGATGCCATTTGGGTTGAAGCCGGCCTTGTGGATCATGCAGAAGCGCATGGAGTTGGTTTTTGATGAGGTGCCTAATCATGAGGTGTACATTGATGATATTGGCACAGGGCATGATGATGGTCGTGAGCATTGGGATGCTCTGGCGATACTTGTGGCGGCTTGTCAGAAGTATAATGTTAAGTTGTCGTTGGCCAAGTCTAGCTTTGCGTATCACACACAACCGTTTTTAGCTTTGGGCCGGATGGTCGATGAGAATGATGCGTCCATCTCTGAGGATCGGTTGGAGGCGATTCTGCGGATGCCTCGGCCAACTACGAAGGATCTGTTGAAGTCATGGTTTCATACTCTCACGTTTTGGCTTGAGTTTATACCGGATTATGCGCGGATCACAGCGCCGCTGTCTGACATGTTGAAGGACGATGTGGCTTTTGAGCGCTTCTGGTCTTCCAAGTTCAGTGCTGCGCAACTCAACTACCACATTACGGACAAGGAAGCCTTGGCTATAGTGTACGTGTTGCACAAAGTTTTAGGGTTTAGGTTTGTACTGATCATGAGCCGTTAGTGGCTATGATGCAGAAAGAGCCGCACGAGTTTGAAGATTCGGTGCGGGGCAGGCGTTTGGGTCGGTATGTTCAGGTCTTGCGGGACTTTAACCTGGTTTTGAAGCATATTCCGGGTGAAGATAATCCGGTGGCGGATGTGATGTCTCGGTTGGGCTATCATATTGATCGATTATGCAAGTGGAATCTCCAATAATCAAGAATCGTGTGAGTTTTGCAGATCCTTTGGTTACGGTACCTGACACGGAAGAGTATTCGTTGGCACTCAAGTATTTTGACAAGGCGTTGCAGCGGGTAGGTCCCTTTGATGCTGAAGGGTTTGCGTTGCCGGGCAATAACTTAATGGTGCCGTATTACTCGCCCACTTTAGAAGGTGGGGTGTTTGCCTTGGACACTTGGTTTGGGAGGTGGTATATGAATTCTTTGTTCTCCAAGTTGGATGCTGTTGTCCAGAGGGTCAAGTCGGATAGGGCCACTGCGACGCTTGTGGTGCCGTATCATCCGGAGGCTGCTTGGTTTAAGCAGATGGTACCTTTGTTGGCGGATACGCCGATTGTTATCCCACCTGCGCATGGGGTGTTCTTGAAGCATGGGCGTGAGCCCATGTCGCCGCCGCCGTTTGTGACGTTGATTTGTCATCTTAGTCCTCGTTGTGAGAAGTTCACTCTGGCTGAGAGGTTTTGGGCGACGGTGGATGCGCATCGGCCGGTGACCAGTGCTTTGGTTGGAGCGTTGACGACGCGACCGGATGATTTGGAGTCCTGTATGGTGCAGGATCGGCTGGCTCCGGCAGTGGCTGGTGTGGTTGAGAAGCCTGTTCGTTGTGGACGTGGTCCCACGCTGGGGGGTTTTGCCTTAAAACCAATTGAGCATGTGGTTGGGTCGTGTACATTCATGGCAACCACCGTCATGTCTGGGGAGTTGGTATTGGAGGAGTCCGTGAGTCGAGCTGAGCGCGAGTATGAGGCGCATCAGGCGCGGACGGTGGCCGTCATGACTCGGGCGCAGCGGTTGAGGGCCTCTGCAGCTGAGGCGGATGTGGCTGCCAGTGAGGAGCCACTGGTTGAGGAGCCGGCGTTGTTGTTGTCCAGGGCTCGGGAGCAGTTGGCAGCGCCTGAGGCCTGGCTTGCCAGTCTTTGGGCCACGCACAGAGAAGGAGTTTCTAGAAGATGTACGGTGTGGATTGTATGGTATTGAAGTGGGGGGTCCTGTTGTCGTGCGTGTTTTGCGTTACACGCATGAGCTCTTTTCACATGTCACATCGGATCGCCTGATACACCTCGTAAAAGAGTTGTGGGGTTGGGCTTGCGTGCGCTGTGTGAGCATGTTAGGCGTGGCTGTGGGCCGTACCAGGAGGTTTCCCCTATTCTTGGACCGACGCGAGGGCTGCTCCAGCAAGCGACCGGATTCAGTTATGGCTGAGATTGGCATGGATTTTGTTCAGTTTCCGACAACGAATGCGGGGGGTATGAAATATGCCCTGTTGGCGGTAGATACTTTTACTCATATGGTGTTTGTTCGGGGGTTTCCGTCTAGCGTTGCTGCTGGGGATGCTTTGCGCTTCTTGGAGGAGCAAGTTTTGGCGCTGGGAGTGCCGCAGAGGATTACGATAGACGCTGACTTGGTGTTCAACACTAACGCTATGGTTAACTTTTGTGAAGCCAGGCAGATTATGCCGCATTATGTGTCGATTGACCGTCACCAAGGCAATGGGAGAGCGGAGGTTCTCATCCGTATGATGAAGGACTGGCTAAAGCGTGAGGTGGCGGCTGCCGATGCGGAAGTAGGGTCATGGGTACACTCAGTGTATGATGTGGTCCGGACTTACAATGCGACGGTAAACTCGGTTACTGGGTTTTCCCCGGACTTTCATATGACGGGGCGTACATTTCTGCATGCTCAACGGGATCAGCTGCAAGAGAGGGTCCTGGAAATGCTGTTAACAGAGCGTGGCACGCAGGCTGTAGTGCGTGATATGGTGGCAGTGCACCGTGATCGGCGTGCGCAGGAGTCTCAGCGTCGGGCGGCTGACTTGCATCGGGTGGATGTGCCAGCGTTTGCTGCACGGTATGATGGCCCAGCCAAGATTGTTGCTGTCCTGCCCAACTTGAAGTATGATGTGGAGGTTGCGTCGGGAGTTGTGCGTTCGTATATGATCGAGGAGCTTAAGGCGCATGTTCAAGGGATTGATATGCCGCCTCCGGGAAGGCAGAAAGTGGTCAGTTATCGGCCGCGTGGATGGCATGAGTCGTGGTTGCTACAGCGATCTCCGATGCGGGAGACGTCTTATGAGTATCGGCAGGGCCATCGGTTGAGGCGCACAGAGAAAGCCAATCGATGGGCAGATGCAATGAGTTCTGTGTGGGGTAGATGGGAAGGCTTTTGTGATAAGGCGCGGCAGCCTGTTGACTTGCCGTTTGCATCTGCTCCTTTTGGCCAGATTCAGTTACATACGGATCATGAGGCGATTCTCATTGATAAGTTACCTGTTGACCAGCCGCGGAGATTATATCGATCGCAAGTGATTGTTTGCCTAAGGTTTTCGAGGGATGCGACGTTCCGCAACTACATGTTGCGCAGATGGGTTATGCTTCCATTGACGTTGGAAGGTATTGAGATCCCCAGGTGGTAATGGTTTGAGCCGGCGGCGTAGTTCAGTAGGGCAGCATGAGTAGTAGCGTGTAGGCGGGAACTTCACTTAGCAGAGGTCAGAGGGAGAGTACGGAACCACGTTCCTGTGGATATACATCGAACTAGCATGGTGGACACACTGGGAATATGACCACCCTATGACATGACAGAGTTGTGGTCATAGTGGGGGGTTGTAATATGGGTGTGGTCCACAGATAGTAGTGAGCCGGAGGGCTCGTGTGCAGAACTGAATTGTGTCTGATGCATGCTTGATGGTTCGGGTGTACGAGGGGTGATTTTCTTAGAGTGATGGAGGCATGGAGAAATGTTATGTGTCTGATGATATTGGTTTATGTCTACAGCTGATTTGGTAAGCGTAGACCAATAGAAGGAGGGCATAAAACATTTAGTAGAGTAGTGTAATAGTATGACGGAACACATGGCGAGAAAGGAGATGTTGCGCCAGTGACCAGAGGGTTTGACGGCATGCAATGTCTAGCTTTAGGTATATATGTCAAGGTTGTGGGATGATCAGTCCTCACAACCTTGTAAGCTATTACACTACTTTGATCCTATAAAGTACAAACGTTGTTTCACTCTAAACCGTTCGTGAACTAAATTAGTTACTCACAATATATATATATATATATATATCTATTTATCATGTGTGTGTGTGTACTATAACTAGGTACGCATACATGCAAAGGTATGTATATCATTGGTGTTGATGCCAGTGCATGCACGAGCTATCCTTGTGCAGCTGATACATATCTTGATAGAGTTTTTTCTCCCTGAGACTTTGAAGCTGATTTATTAGTGAGAATGTCGCGATGTTTATTCACGCTTGTCATGATAATACGTGATTCATTTACAAAACCGCCTCTCGAATAACATATTCTATGTATGAATGGTGTGTTAATTTTATAGGAGTTTTAAGTGCTGCTTCTCGGCTGGGCCTCCGCCTACCAAATCATCCCCCGCATGTTTGATAACGGCATCGACATCGGCATACTTAAAGTTATCCCAGCTGACTTTCACCTTCGGGTTCTCGCTGCAAATGGTTTTCCAAGTACTCTTGGTTGGTATACGTAGGCATTTGATCGATAACTTTGCCCCATTCGGTCCATAACAACTCTCATCACCCATAACTTGCATCACTTGCACATTCAAATCCGTTAGCCAAGTGAAGAAGTCCTTTTCATCCTGTACCGGCTGGGACAGTCGTCGAAGTTCTTCCACAAAATACACCGTGCCTCCTTTTTTGGTGATGCGCAATGCCTCTCTGATGAATATTCCCGGGGATTGTCCCACAGCACTAAGACTTAATATAGAACAGTCATACGTACCATCTTTAGTCTTGCTGAGATTTGAAATATTGTATCTATTTTCATGGTAGGGCTGTTTTCTATTTGTACTGAAGCCGGCGTCATAGCTGTCAACTTGGATTCCGCGTTCACGTTTTTGTTTTGCATAGTACTTCGCCAAGCGTTTGTCGATACCACTACCGAGATCCGCAATCATGATAGTCTCATCATCCTCATTTTCTTCGAAAAACTCTTGTATGTAACCTTCGTTGTGATCGCAAACGGCCTTCAGATGAGGTGGCAGAATGTTGCTAGTTGGATCAGGCCATGGCAAGCGGAGCGCCTCTTGATACCTATTCGTATATTTCCTTGCAAGTTCTGCATTGCTGAAGAACCAATACGCAACCCCGACTCCTTTGTAATAAAAACTATTCATGAGCTCTGTGTATGGGCCGGAAGTACTTATCGTATTTATGCGTTCGCTAAGCAATTTGATCAGCTGTAGAAAAGTCCCTGTTTTCCCTCCCTGAGGTTCGCCACACAACAGAAATCATTGCTGCATCGCCTCTTTGCTCCTCACTTGGAAGTAAGCCTTGTCCTTCATTCTATCCTCCACCTCTTTACGGGGGAAGTCCTTCGCCGCCGGGAGAACACTGTAAAGCCTGTCAAACCTGGCTCTGCTGGACTCTGCCTTTTCTTTACGAGTATTATAGGCCGCATCCGTTTCGACTCGGCGTCTTTGCGTTTGCCCTTTTTCTTCCGCTTCCTGGATGTATAGTCTGGGTCCTCGCTTGGCACATCCGGCCCCCCATCGCCATCGATACCACCACGGCCATCGTTTCTGTGTTTTCCTTTTTCTCTTTCGACACGCGGCCTAGACGACGATTGCCTATTAGGATCATAGTCAGGGTCATCGCTCATTGTATCCGGCCTGCCATCGCCATCGATACCCGTATCATCATCCACCCTATTAGATGCTTCTTCAGCTTTTCGTTTCCTCTTGATAGCAAAAATATCGATTTTGTTGCAATTGGTAATGTTTTTCTTCGGGTTCTTATCCTCTTCGGTGTACCCTTTTATCGCAAACTGAGCCACTTTCGTTACCCATAGCTCTGGACGGCGTTTATCAGCTGTACCCCAACCCATTGCTCTTCCGGCGTCTTGATAAAAATTTGTCTTGATAAGACTGTTCTTGTTTTCGTATCTAGCTCGTAGATCCCAGACGCGAAAATGTGGAGGGAACGTATCACCCATTCGCCTTTTATCTATCACGATTAGCAAAATATTTTGGTCCCTAGCAAGACGTCCGAACTCCTCCATATTCATCCCTTTCGCAGAAGGGATACTTTTGCCCCTGAACCAAAACAACCGAACATCATTTTCATTGGTTCCATCCTCTCCCTCGATACGAACACCACATGTAGCCTCATCAACAACTATGGCAAAATCATTTCCCATGCCGAGTTGCCTACGCAACTTTCCCAATTCTGATGCAAAGTATCTTGCGGATTTCACGTTAAGCATACGGATTGCAATCAGATTTTTAGTATCCTTGGAAAGGAGCAGACCGACTTTCTTCCTTGTTGCTTTACTGACATCGGGGTCGAAAAGTGCGGCCCCAGTGATCTGATTGACAGGAAGAATGTCCCGTATGAAAGCATTGTGCACCAAGGCCAGGCAGTAATCTAGCATAATTGCTACATCACCCGCGGGAAACAACTTTGTCGCGTCCTGACCGAAGGCACAAAGAGTTCCAATCTTGTTGGTGATGAAAGCTTGGCTAGCTGTGTAAATTTTGAGTTGTTCGAGCCCAACGTATTTGACATCCGTGATCTGTTCTTCCTTCGGAGGAAGCACACCGCTCTCATCACCCCGAAACCTTTTAAACATGCGCACAAAATGACCTTTTGGTATTTGACCTTCACTGTTGTAAGCCGTGGCGGAATCATGTAGGATGAGCAGGTTTTTAGGCGAATTACTCAACAAAAAGGGTGCGTTCCACAAACTATCGACTTGGCCGCCTTTCCTCACACCCCAATGGTATTCATCCTGGATCGCCAAGAATAATGTATGCCTGTGGCTTTCCACCTGCTTAAAGAGATTCATCATTGCTGAAACGTTGTCCTTGCCCGCATTAAGTACATAGCACTGCCCGCATTAAGTACATAGCACGTACTATCGCCACCGTTACTTGCTGGCAGTGTCTCAGGATCGGATGGCATGTACAAGATCTTCCCTTTTGCATTCGATTGTACTCCTTCCCTGTCATTCACAAAGTGGTTCAGCCTATCTCTGGTTTGTCCGGCGATGCTTATGCGATTCGGCGAAAGAATCACGAACCTGAAATCTGTGTATTCATCAATGACGATGGATGAAAGTATCGATTCGAATAGCTTCCTAGCCACTTTTTTTTTGGGGGAGTATATTTTTGTCGATTGCTGTGATGTAGGGGTCGCATCAGGTACTCCTGTATTATCTGTCTTAACAGTCGTAGTTGCGATGCGTTCTTGTTCACTTTGGAACGTGAGGTAACGTTTCTGATCACACAGTCTGACTTCTCCGTCCACATCTTCAGGACCACGAGCATCCCTATACAGATTGAACTGTTTAGTGATAATTTTTTCGAGCGCTTTTTTCAGCGCCGTATCATCATTAACGTATTCTAAATCCTTAGCAATTATTGCGCAACTCGTTTCATCATAAAGCACCACGAAGGGCTTACTACGTACACCTCTTTTTCCGTTTTCGCGCACAAATTGATTTAAAAAAGGATGGGGATTACTTTTGACGCCACTTTTTTCGGAATGGAACTGATGTGTCCTTACGTCTTCATAAGCGCCTGACTCACACATCGACACACAGCTGCTGGATCCGTCGCAATTATCAGGTACATCAGCGGTGTCAATGTCCGATTCTGCCATGGCATTATTTGCCAATTTCTGAGATTCAAGGACATCATTTGAAAAAGGGTTTCCCGGCCATTTAGTAACTGTCTCGAAAGAAGTAAGTAGTACCCGAACTAATGTCCTACGGTTATCAGGTATCTCTCAAGTTGGTAAATTCGGTACATATCTATGCTGGCTACAATTACTCTGTGCAGAAGCGAGTTTGGTGACGGTGGCTACAGCCAAACAAACTACGAAACTGAATTGTCATTCGATCAATCTTCCCTACTTCAAGGATGTGCAAGATGCATGGAACGACTACAGAGACACAGCTACGATAAAGAAGGTGAAGTACCATAAAACGTTGCTTGCCCGGCGTCAACAGCTATGGGACGTATGTCGAGGTGATAAGAAAGAATTTATACGTCGTACAACTTTGGCCTCCATGGGGAGCGATAATCCGTTCGGAGAATGTCTAACCAATGAACGTATCCTAGACAGGCTTCAGAATTGTTCAATTAAAGAACAGTTTCTGAACTACGATCGCCGGCTGACAAGGGTGGATTATCTTTTCGATGAGCAGCAAGACGATCACAACCACTGGCCTGCGATGGAAAGAGTCACAAAAAATTGCATGGAAAATGAACCACAGCGATCTCAAGTACACACAGATCCGGTGAACAAAAGAGTATGGGATTTTCGACCCTGCGTGTCTACTCTGGGCATTTTGGGATTGCCTGAATAGCTCGACTGTTATATGAGTCGGAGTGTTGAAGCGGCATATTTCGCCATCACTGGAGCTGGTCTGCATATCCGACTCAAGTCGCGCTCAATGAAACGAACTGTATTCATACCCACCAATCGACCGGAAAAGCAATTGGCCTTGGACCACGGACTGGTAGGCCGCTTGCAGATTCTTGTTGCGCCTGGTGGAGCATGGGCTGCAGTGCCGGAAGCCTACTTTCCACATCTGACCAACGGCTGGATGCTGTTAGTCATGCCGGACTCAATAGACCTGAGCTTCCTACCTGCTGATCATCTTCTTCGCAATTGCTTCATAGGCGGTAAGCGCCCTTGTGCTGAATATGGAAAGATTGAATTTTCGCGGCTATTCATCCAGCTGTTCGCACACGCAGTTGGACTGTCCGAGGTTTGGGTGCTAGATGACAATATAACAAAGTGTGAGCGAAGAAACATAGTTGACTCTGCCGGTGGGGAGAAAAATTGGCAGGTGGGCCCGGGTTCTATACAAAGAGTAGGCCTTGAAGAATTTATGCAACAACTGAGAGAGTAATCGAGCCTGAGAACACAGTTTCGGCCCCGGCAGCGTGCACGCGTCGAGCTTTTCTATCCAATTTCACTTCGAGGGACGTTTCACTGCGGACCATCGAAGAGATCGAAGGAACCCCGAGTTGTGTAAAGGAATTGTGCGGGCCGAAAGAGTTTTATGGGCTCATAGCACCACACCGTGGGGGGTGGTATCACAGCACACGCCATATGTTCTCGATTAAGTTCACAGCGTACTCTTTCATGTTACTCAATGTCAAGGCAACCGTTGCTCGACATTTATACTATCCGCCCAAGTCGCCGTGGCAAGACCTGGACTTCAATCAACTACTGTTGGATAATAGTTTAGCTGTTTGCAAATTCATGCAATTCTGTCACACTAAAAAGGATTTGCAATCACCCAGACGAGCTCGCATGATGCCAGCAACAAGTTCTGAAGGTGCTTCACCAATGGCGTCCGTATCAACAAGGCCAATGGATGATGGCGCCGAGATGGATCCAACGGAGAACTTGCAGACATCGGACAATATGCACAGAGTGGTTCCAGTCTCCGAGATGTATTGGAAACTTGATGCGCTATACTCCCAAGCCAATGTGCAGAGCAGTATAACGGCGTGTTCTTCACAATACCTCGCCATATGCCAGTTTCTCTCAGAACGGATAAACGGTCAGGTGGATCATGCGTTCCGACCTCATCTATATCCGAACAAAGAAGAAAGTCGATTGGATTATAAGCTGACCGGATTGCAGGCACGCCACGGTCAGGCACTCGACATTGCGACAACCTCTGAGATTCAGGCTATTTTCTTCTGGCGACCTCTGGCGCACATATTCCGCGCAATCATCCACCAGCTTCTGCTGAAAAGGGTATTTGAGCCAGGCAATTCTGTATGGTTATTGTTCTGGGCATGGTACCCGTTTTCATTTGGGTCGAATGCTCGGACTGAGGGTGGCTGCGTCTGCAGTACGTTCAGCGAATACGGGTTGGCCGTGAAAGAGACCTACGTTGATTTGCCAGTTGCTATTGCTTCTAATGTACCATCTAGTACGGGAGAGGCAGGCTTGCCAACTCAGCACACCTTCGTAGTTCTCAAGGTAGCAAGAGCTCAGTCTTGGGACCACGGCGAGTATGGGTGTACGCATACAGTCGTCCGAAAGCGAGCCGCTGTTCAGGGGATATCCTTGCAACCTACCAAGAAGAAACCGCGCGGATCGAATTGCTAGGATCCATGAAAATTGTATAGGACATCTGCCAATATACATGTCTATGGACAACTTACATCTAAACGGCACGGCTCCCCAAGCCCACCGATACAAGGGTAATTCGAATTGCCAGCTGCATTCTGGCCCGGCTGGTCGATTCGGAGGTATCCTAATCTGTAGTTGCACATTCTTGTAACATACTCTATCCGCACATCGACATACACTCATGATCATCGACGTCACGAGATTGACACATATCAAGATAAAGGGTGTACGCGTTTACGGTGTATCAGGCCTGAGAGAATTGAGATACACTGGTGCGCGGATGGAGTCAATGATGTTACCTTATCGCTGTTGCCTGGTCCATGCGAAGGGGGAATGGTAAATCACATTTTAGTCCTCATCGAGGTGATTGGTTGATTGTTTGAAGTATGGATCCCAGTGACGTAAATGTGGTCCATGTGGCTATTCGGTACCTATTCTTCACAAAAGGACGGGGAACAATGTCGAACTGGGCCAACAGTACGATGACTGACCACTTGCGGATCTTACACTAGTGATGACTGCTTATGCTTATAACAGGTGCTGCATGTGCGAGTGAAGATATACAGTAGATATGTAATAAATACACATGTACGTAGAAAGATGTCTGTGTGTGCATAAAGATATATTTATATATATATATATACGTTAGTATATGAATTCTGAAAATATGCAATATCTATAAAAATAAAAATATGTAAGTAAACATGAGTAAATACACACGTTGTATATGTTGATATACACTTGCACCCAAAGATGCTTGTGTGTGTGTGCATCTGTGCACGCCAGTGATACTAGTGTATTATATGAAAATCGTTGGGAATATGGAATCTCGTAGTTTTGGTTTTCCATCCATTTTGTAGAATGTTGTTCATCATGTAAGACATTATTGTTTTATCTGGTCCATGAGTTTTGCATGTATCTACATGTAGGTCTCTGTGATCCTTTGATACGATAGACCTTTTTAATTAGGTATCCAGACGTAGTTCCTGTACTTTTATTTGACACCGTATCGAGAATTGTATGATTTGAGTTTTGTTATGGGGTGAATCGAGGATCTAGAGTACTTGGCCAGTATCGTTGCCGGTCTTTCCCCCGGTGAGCATAGTGGCCTGTGATGTGAGAAATAGAAAGGGTGAATATATCAGTCCGGAATTAATTAAGAACTAATTGGGGGTTTACAGTTAGTCAATCCTGCTGAGTTAATATAATCAAAGTAGACTAAGTCGATAAATATATTGTATGGTGTGTGGCTGGTATATGGTGATGTGGTGGTCTGCGACTTAAACACCATGGAACATGCCTATGTGATGTGCAACTTCATTGTATAAGGTGTGGCTGTTCAGCTCTTGCGTTACATTGGATATGATGCAATTCAATGTCCACTCATTCTATATCATACGATGGATGAGGCATGTTGTTGCGTGGCTGTATTGTGGGGCTTATGGTTGTGTGACTTACACTACATAGTGTCTAATGATGCTTGTAGGTAGACTCAAAAGATTGTGCGACTGCTGATGTATATATAACATATGATTGAAAGCTGGCAGGCTCACTTAATAGTTCTGATTGTATCTATGGTATGTTCTTGATTATGTCTGAGAATTTTGGTTCAATGTAGGGTGATGTGTGATAATTCTCCATAGGATGTGGTGATATGCGATTGACGTCCACGACATAACGCTATCCAATGTCCACTCCTTGTGCACCTCACAAACACTTGCTCTGGTGTGTAGTACGTGGTAGCGTGTGACTATGAAGTATAGATTATAGGAGTGTGCGACTGTAAACTATAGTGTGGGAAGGTGTGATTATGACGTATAGAGTGTGGGAAGGTGTGACTTGAGTTACATCGGGCATAATACTATCCAATGCCCCGTTCCCACTCTGTCTGTTTCTACCAATACCTAATGTTGGTTGCCTTGTCCAAACAGTATATAGGGTGTGGCAGTGTGTGACTATGAAGTATAGTGTAGAAGGTGTGACTATGAATTACAGATTGTGTGAAGTGTGTGACAATAAATAAAGGATAGTGTGTTGGGGTGTGGCTCACATGACAGAGCTGTCTTATTATCCGATATCCACTCCGTCTGTACCCAGCATTACTTGAAGCATGTCGTAGTGTGACTACGGTATATAGGGCGTGTTCGTGTGTGACTCGCAAGTATATGAGTATATTATTATCCAATAGATGAAATATGGTTATGTGCGATCAGAAGTATATAATGTGGTGGGATGTGACTTACGTTACATAGGGCATGATGCTATCTAATGTCCACTCCTTCTGCACCGCAAATAGCTGCTGGAATCGGGTCGCGGGATCGAACGAGAATGAATTGGCATCTAATTTGATAATCGTCTTATTGAACGAGTCAGTCTTCACCAAAGCCAGACCCTGTGCAGAAAGTGAGGGAGAGAATTAGAGTCATGTGCACTGCTTTTTTAGTACATAGTATGTATATTTGAATTGATTCGCATTCTGATTGATGAACAGTTTGATGATTTACATATTATCTACACGGACTTGTGTTGGCATGTCGCGGGTATTTAAATGTTAGAATACCTCTACATCTATACTAGTGGTGTAGTATAGAGTGCGGCTGTCCATCTTTCATGCTCACACAAGTCAAACTAGAACATGATGCTATAGGCCCATTGTATGTATATTGGCACGCGATGTGGCACACCCGCGTGGTATATAGACTGGTGTTTGCATGGATTCGGCAGACGATCGGGATTCAATGCTACACAGTTCTATGCAAATTATTTTTGAATGTTTTTATGTGTTACAATTTACACAGCACCAACGAGCAAATGTATATTATGTCCTGGACATGGCTGTATTTATCCATATACCCATTGTTGTATATTACTTGGGCTTACATATACACGTGTGGTACAGTTGACACAGTATCTACCCTCAAATGGACACCCAAGTCTTGATACGGAATAGGGTACACCGAGCCTTGACATGCCAGTGAATGGCCATACATACATGTCTACATACTACTCGGGCCTACGTATACGATTGCGCTGCAGTTTGCACAGCACAAGACATACCCTGAGCAGCTGTTCGTTACTTGTCATTGGGCTGGTGAGCGTCCCATCCCACGCCTCCATGAATTCGTCGTAGTCCATCGTCTGCATTGGTCAAATGAAGGTTCAATAGGAATAGGTATACTGATATCGATGGGGGTAGATTAATGAAATTTGTAGTTATAAATAGATACACAATGTTTGATTCAGGAAAGGCGATACGAATTCGTCGTAGTCCATCGTCTGCATTGGTCAAATGAAGGTTCAATAGGAATAGGTATACTGATATCGATGGGAGTGGATTAATGACATTTGTAGTTATAAATAGATACACAATGTTTGATTCAGGAAAGGCGATACGAATTCGTCGTAGTTCGTTGTCCGCAATACGCAAAAGATTGTTCAAGAGGCATATGTGTATTTAAATATACAAAAATATATATTTGTCAGTTGTAGTCATTCATATATACACATGTTCGATTCAGCAAGGGCTATACAATGGTGAACACATTGAAACGCAAGAAAGCCAATCCCCGGAACAGGAAACCCTCCAAACCCGAGCATCAACCATGATTTACAGCGCTATTGGTTTGTTGGTACTGGCATAAAGTGTGCAAAGTCGCTATAACATCCAAGCCTGTGCCTTTATTCTCATTTCGACTGAACCAATCTGAACCAATTCGGTTTAAAGGTGTCATAACATTTGGACGCTTCTACAAACGAAATGGAACAAAATTCAAAATTGTTAACATTTGCCTTGCAACAAACCGTATTACCCTCTGCCGAATGATCCTAGTGATACCTGGAAACTAAAAAAATTCATTTGAAGGCTGGCATGAACACACTCGTACAAGTCAGTTCACACCTGGGTTACGATGCAGGAAGGGAGATCGGAACACGCAATATTGCCCTGTCATACAACTCATGCAGCCCCAACGTTACCCCGTACCAAGATATGAACGCACTCGCACAATTCATTTCACACTTTGGTTACGAAAAAAGAAGGAAACTTAACTACGCGAACATAAGTTTTCCAACGTACCTCGCCGACCGCAGTGAGAATTTCGTCGGCTCGAAACAGGATGATCTTTTCGCTGGATAAATTAAAAATACCTTATATGCAATATTTATTCGTTCAAAGTGGTCATATGTCAGAGAACAATTGTCGAACGTCAGGTATCGTACAAATGTCAG